TATTTAATTTAAAAGTCAAATAAAATATTTAATTAAGTGAGATAGTATTAAAAATCCACATCAAACAGTAATATTTTCTCGCGTACAAAGATATGTCTTGTTCTGTACAACCAGTGGTCAAAATTCCATGACATTTGATTTACAATGATATGAAATGGAGAAAAGCTTAAAAGCTTCACAGTATAGAAACAGGAGCCAAAGAATGTTTGTCATTTTTGCTTGGGAAAAAAAAACTCAACCAACTGGACTGTCACATTTTTGCTGATTTATTATCTGTCAATCAACGTAGGTATAATCAGATCAAAATTCTGAAAACAGAAGACAACAAAATGGTGGTCAACAAACACTGACTGAGAACAAATGAGAATCAGGAGACAAAAATCAAGAAAACATAACACAAAACATGAAAACCAAGGCAGAACAAAACTCACCTTGAGCTTGGCCAAAGCCTCGGGCGTCATGAGGTTCATCCTCCTCCACATCTCCTCAGAGTTTCGGTGCTTAGTGGCTTCGATGATGATGTCCTTGTAGCTCTGCAGCCCCGCTCTGATGTCTTTGACCAGCAGCGACTGCAGGGTGAAGGTCAGGTCCAGGCCGATCTCAGTCAGCTGCTGGCAGTGTTCTTTAGCCACTTTAACACATTCTGCTGCTGTCGACAGGCTCTCCTTACTGTCAAACACCTGGGAAAAGAGAGCAAACCACTTGTGAAACAACACATGCATATACTGACTTTAAAGTGACACACTGCACCCTCTGGCTGCCACATTACAGAATTTAACCTCATGTGTTCGTGTGGTCCTTGCTAAAAACTGGCTTAAATCAATCAGTTAGTAGATAAGGTTTTCCAGACAGTTGACGAATGATGTCAGTAAGCATTCTTTTTTTAGATGTAATATCCCAGCTGCTTTCCACTGTTAAAACAAGGCATGAAAGCATGTGTATATGGTGTAACTTGGCCTATTTTTGTTTGTTTGTTCATGTTTTTAGCAATAAGAAATACAAGGTGTCCAAAATTTTGCATCTTGGCTCAAATTCCACTTTTGACAAGAAGTCCAGGTGCAATTTCTGGTTTGCCGTACGGCCCAGAAATCCATAGTAAAACATCTTTTTTTTTAAAAACATATTTAACAGAGTGTTACTTGTCTGTGTAGTCTTGTATAAGCCGACTTATCTCCACAGCAAACATGGTAATGAATGGTCTGACTGCACCTTATTATTATTCTGCTCTAGGGGGAAAATGTTCTGGCCTGTTTGTATTTCTTCAAACCCATCATAGTCATCTTGGGCAGAGTTAAGCGCATGATGTAGTGACGATGCAAAATAGTGATGGTAGAACTGCGAACACTGTCATTAAAGTGGCTAATGCACTGCAAAAACCAAGCAGGTTCGCCTTACTGTACAATCCACACCTTCAGCAAAACTTGAAATTTTGTGTGTTTATGGTTGCCACTCAGAAGTTGTTGTTGTTTTTCATCATAAAGGGGATTTGGAAACAGTAACATGCAAATAGCAGGAGGGGAGAAGAAAACTGCATGAAATGCGGAGCAGAAATTGCGTGCTTATGCCCCCAGGCCACATCCTGTGAATCAGAATAGTTGCCTCCCTGACCCTCTACCCACCTGCTTGCTGAAGGCGTCCACAAACATCCTCATGGCGGATCTGGACCAGACCACGAAGGCAGAATAGCAGCCCGTGTTCCCTGCAAAGTCCATCTCAAACTCCTTGGCGGTCTCCAGCAAGCTGGTGAAGAAGATGTTGCAGAGTTTGTGGATGTAGAGCAGCGTGGCTCCTTCGATGCGAAGCTGCCGTATGGCCGTCTGGACCGCTGCAGCGCGGTTCTTCAGAAACAGCTCACAGGCTTTGGTGGACTGTCCTAAAAGGCAGACAATAACAACACAGATTTACAGGGTGATGAGACAGAGCAGTCTGCTCATTGCAAATATAGGATCATTCCACATGTTTAAATATGTTGATAGGGCTGAAGGTACCACATGCATGGCCCTAGTAATGTTTGTCAGAGGTTTTATGACATTAAAAAAAGGAGTTTACATTCAATGACTGCACAGGTACTACATATGTAGGCCTTTTAGGGGTGATTCTGATGTGTTTTGGACTAAATATATTGAAAGTGTTTGTCTTTTTATTAAAAAATATTAAATAAATTGAAATAAATTGTATTGTGTGTTATCTATAGGAATATCTGTAGTGTAGATGAAAATAACCTGGAAAGATATAATTAATAGAACAATAATCAATCAATAAATAAATTTGTATTTATATTCCAAATAATTTTGCTCGGAATAATTTAAAAATATATCTATTCAAAACTGTATGCATGCACACAAGACAGCAAATTCTACAGTAGAAATGCAACGATTAAGTGATTAAACAGGTTATCAGTTAACTATGTCAGATACTAAAACTACATTGATGATCAATTAATTGGTTTGAGTCATTTTTTAAACAAATAAATAAATAAATAAGTTGAAATTTTCTAACTCAAGCCTTTTAAATTTGAATACTTTCTACTTACTTTCCTCCTTCATGACAGTAAGTTGAATACTTTGGATTATGGATAAAATAAGACATTTGTCACCTTGGCCTTTGGGAAGCAATGATCAACATTTTCCACCATTTTCTGACATTTTAACACATCTAATTCATTAATCAAGAAGACAATAAGCAGATGAATCTACAATTAAAATAATCATAAGTTACAGCTCTTTTTTTAACTTTTTTTTTTCTACATTTGGTTCTTCATTAAAAGCTATGACTGCAAACAGACAGTTAGTTGGACAACGTAGCAAAAACCTATCATGAGACTGTAAAGACATCAAGATTTCAGCAGAGTCTGGTCTCAAGATTTAGGAAAAGCTCATCTAAATACCTAACACACTAAATACATAACAATGAGGCACAGCGTATTTATCTGATTATATCACTCAGCATCCAAGGTCAAAACAGACAATAAGTGATTTGCAAGTCAACCCCATCATGCAAATGATTCGGGTGAGGACAGTGACTAAGTGAAATGCCTTTAACAGATTCTGACAAGGTGCCCTTCAGCCATAAAAACACTGTGTGTGGATGGAACAGGTCCTTAGTGTGAATTCACAGAACCGTGACATGGTGAGATGCAACGAAGCAGTGTGTTTAAGAAGCACCTAGTCTGATGAGCTGGGACACAGCCCGCCGGGTTGCTTTAGGTCCACCACGGAGCGACCGATCTGGAGACAACTCGAACACTAGGACCTCTGTCAGCTGCCGCACGCGCTCATCAACCTTCAACCTGAGCTCTTTGACCCTCGGGGTGACCGGCTGGTCTTTGAGATACTCGTTGAGCTTGTCCAGCAGGTCCACAGCACCCTCAAAGTCTCTCTGAGCAATGCACACGTCCAGATCCTCTGGCAGCTCCTGGATCCACTCCAGGCTGAGGTCCACGCTCTCTTCAGCGTCCGCCGGCTCATCATCATCCATGTCGAAAGGATTGGTGGACACCTCGGCTCTTACAGGAGAAGTAGGAACTTCTTCCTCCTTCTTGTGCCTATCTTTAGAGACTTTGTTTTTCTTGGTTTCATCCAGGATCTCCAGCCACTCCTTCTTGATCTTGCTGTTCTCTGCCTGGAAGATGCGGCTGTCTGGGAACATGAGGATCTTGAACATGTCCTTCATGGGGGGGTTGTCCTTTACGTTGACCACGGCGAAGCTCTCCAGGTCGTACAGGGCATTGTATTTATACTTGACCGTGCCACGGCGGTTGGGCAGCCAGGTGGCGATCAACAGACAGTCATTCATGAGGAAAGCGTGCACCTTTTGGATGGGGGACATGTTGTCCACATCAAACTCCACCAGGTCACCATTGTAGACGAGATGTCTCCCTGGGGTGTCCATGATGTTTTTACCCCCTTCCACTTTCTCCAGCAGGGAGGTGAGCGTCCTCTGCTTCAGCTCTTCTGTCTCTTTTGGGAAAGCAGCCTGCATCTCTTTGGAGGTCTCGTCCTTGTCTGTGGACAGCAGGGCCTGAGTGATGCTCTCCATGATGCTCTTCTGCTCGGTCAGGATGTGGCTCAGCTGGTACATCTCACTCTCCAGGTAGGAAATCTCTTTGGCCGTTTCGATGAACTGTCTGTAGTTCTTGTACACATTTTTCTTCAGGTTCTGAGCCGTTTCGTCGGCCAAGTTTTGGATTTTTTGCCGATGCTCCTGCAGATCTCTGTCGCCGTCGGACTGCTGGGACAGCTGCTTGACGTAGTTTTGCGGGTCGAAATTGGGCGATTCGAGCAGTTTACGCAGCCGGTTCCCCGTTTCCGACATCTTTTGTCGTGCTTGTGTTTCCTTATTAAAACTAAATGTTAAGAAAATATTCAGAAAAGTGGATAGAGGAAGAGTTCATGGAAGCTCCTTGGTTCTTGCAACCCAAACAGGAAGCTGTAAACTGGTTGACACCCTGAAGCGTCACGGGGTTCAGAAAAAAGATGGCCAACAAATAACACAAAACAAACGCTTTTAAACAACATTGAGTCAATTACAGACAAAATATTTTACTTATTATTCAAAAATATAGATAACATAAGACTGATTGTTAAATATTTGTCATTGCTTCCATCGCTAGCCGACAACAGATAAACTCCGTGATACCTTTAGATTGGCCAACTACCTGAAATAAAGAAGACGACATATCCCAGAATGCTTTGCTACTGTTTTTGAATCGGCAAAATTTTGTCAAGTTTGCAAGGCTCACTCAAGTCTAGAGCGGAAGTGTCACTTTAGGAAAATATAAAATAATCATTAAAAATGCGTCAGTATGCTACTGAACGACGCATAATAAAAGTTTACAACCAATAGCAGTTTATTAATTTGAAATATACATCAAACTATCCGTATTAACCAAACACATCCTCTTAAAACGTGGAGCAGATTTATTTTGAAATGCATATTGGAAATCATCTGGTTGTATTGCAATACGCTTGACACAAACTGTTGGCGCTGGCTTTCGACTGACAGTTAGCAAACGCAACACAGATATGTGGTTGTTTTTGCTAAAATCACGACACATATCCAGTCTTTCTACACAATGGTAGTCTGACGGACTGTGCTATTGATCTGGCGATGCTGCCACCCGTTTGAGAACTGCGTATAAGCTACATTAGCTCGTTAGCACCCACAAGCTAACGCTGACCAAAGCCACGTAGCTCGCTAGCTAGTTTGTTGTTGTCATGGATGAGGACTTTCTGCTCGCCAGTCAGCTGCAGGAGCAGTTTAACTACGAATATGAGACCTCGTTATTTTCATCAAACGGCTTCGAGGACAGTGGCTTCGGACACAGCAGTAAGAAACGGAAAGTGGATGTAGCCGGAGGTGGCAGCGATGTTGTTCCCTACTGGAAGCCGGCTCCCCAGCCCGAGAGGCCGCTGTCCATCGTGGACGAGTCCTGGGAGATGCTGGACCCCAACCCCGATGTCAGGGCCATGTTCCTGGAGTTCAACGATATGTTCTTCTGGGGAAAACTTAGCGGAGTAGAGGTTAAGTGGAGCCCCAGAATGACACTGTAAGTTTTTCTTGTGCTCTTGCTTTCAGTTTTAATTCTCACTGGCTTGTAAATACTGTAATGTTCCAGCTTAAAATAAAATGGTGTAATTTTTGAATGGGGTTTGGTTTGACCCTACCCAGTAAAACAATGCTACAGGGTATACATGACTACTGATAAAGGAAAAAATGCAATGTATTGAAAGTGTCTTGTCTCCAATGTTTCCTGCTCCTGTCACTTGTTCTCAGGTGTGCTGGTGTGTGTTCTTATGAGGGCCGAGGTGGACTATGTTCAATCAGACTCAGTGAGCCTCTGCTGAAGCTCAGGCCCCGAAAAGACCTGGTGGAGGTGAGATGGACAGTTCCAATAGTGCTGATATATCAGAAGAAATTTGACTGTTTCAGTAAATTCCTTTGTGACTATTCTTTTTCACCATATGCAGCAAAATAACAATCTCCTCTCAAAAGAAAAGTATGATCACTATAACAATACTGTTTAATTTCTATTTTCTTTACACTGGTAGATTAACCTGCTATAAGGCCTGAAATGTATACAACCAGTTTACTAGCATTAGGATTAGAGGTTACATAACATAACAATCAAAACAGGGCTGCAGCTAATGATTAGTTTTATTGTCTGTGATTCTGTTGATTATTTTCTTTCCTGATTTGTAAAATGTCAGAAAATGGTGGCAAATGTCGATCAGTTTTCCCCAAAGCCCAGAATGATGTTTTCAAACATATTGTTTTGTCCACAACCCAAAGACTTTCAGACTAGCAAAACCAGAAACTACTCAAATTTAAGAAGCTTGGATCAGAGATGTTGCCTTTTTTTCTCTAAACATGACTCAAATCAATTATCAAAATAGTTGATGATTATTTTAGTAGTTGACAATAAAATGCACAAATGAAAGTTAGGCGGCAGTTGTCATAAAATGCATCCAAAGTTATTTTTTCATACAGAAGCTACTCTTCATTTGAATTTCCGATTTAATGGTTTGGTGTGTCTGCATGTCACGAGACTTTTTTTTTTTACCACAGATGCCATTTATGGATTTGTGTCAATGTAAGAGAAGGACTCTGTAATGCTAAAAAGGAGCACACATGTACATACAGATAACTGTTTTTTTGGTTTCCACAGACCCTCCTCCATGAAATGATTCACGCGCTCCTGTTTGTGACTCAGAACAACCGAGACAGAGATGGTCACGGACCAGAGTTCTGCAAACATATGCACCGGATCAACAAGGCCAGTGGGACGAAAATTACCGTAGGTGTAACCTCTCTAGCTTTGACATGAGAGATTTAGAGCAACCTAAATGATAAAATAATCTTCTGAAACTTCCGTCTTCCATCTGTCAGGTCTATCACAGCTTCCACGATGAGGTTGATGTGTACCGTCAGCACTGGTGGCGTTGCAACGGGCCCTGCCAGAGCCGCAAGCCCTACTTTGGCTTCGTGAAGAGGGCCATGAACCGGGCTCCGTCCTCCCTGGACCCTTGGTGGGGGGATCACCAGAGGACTTGTGGTGGGACTTATACCAAGGTCAAGGAGCCCGAAGGATATGGTAAAAAAGGCAAAAAGGATGGAAAAAAGGATGGGAAGACTTTGGAGAAGAAGGCCTTAGGAAATGGGAAGCCATCAAGTACAACTACAGGTAACATCATGCCTGTACCTTCTCCTGTGTATCAGCTGTAATCGCTGTTGTCAACAATGCAGAACACACGGTCAAAGTCAGTAGCAGCCTCACAATAAAAGCCACAGGGTGTTTTACTATGTGACTGCTTTTAATGTTGAGCAACAGCCAGTAATGTAAGACTTGTGCATGTGAAGGCATTTTAACCCTCTGAACCCCAAAACTGAGATTTGAAATGCATGTAATCTTTAAAAAAAACACACACACATCATTTGTCAGAGCCACAAACTGTAAAAATGGAAAGATTTTTAACTCTCCAACAGTCCTTGAACTAAAAATGTTTGCCATGCAGTTCCACCTGTAAAAATAACCAAATCTGAGCTTAAAAGTCTGACTGATCGCCAAAATCACTATGTGCTACATGTCTCACTTAAAAAATCACCAAAAAGTAAGCGTTGACACACATCACATTCTGTAAAAAAAAAAATAGATAAATAAAAATCTGCACAAAGCAGATGGGCCACAAATATGAAAACAAATTAAAAATGTAAGTAGTAAAATATATTCAGTATTTAGAGTTACAATAATTTTTCCAGTATTGTTGACACCTGTGGGCACTTTGAAGAGTGTTTGACGTGTTAATTTCTGGTGTTTCTTTCCCCCCAATCTTTATAAACTAAATAATCACAGAAATTCAACTTTTTTCTATGATTTATGGCATTATAACTGTGTCATACAGCACAGAAGACATTTTTGAGCTCTTTATACTTCTGCCCATTGGGCTGTTTCTATAGAGGTGAAAGATTTTTATACTGCAGTTGGGTTGTTAATGATGAATTGCTAATTGATTAAATGTCATCAGTTATTTAGTAGATTACAAGTCTATTAACTGATACGGCAGAAGATGAGGGAAATCATATCAGAGAATGTATCTCACTGCTGTAGTTCCTGCTTGTGCCACCAGGTGGAGCCTCTTACTGTTTGATGAGATGGAAGATTACAGCTCAAGAACCATGGGGATGCTAATGTTTAAATCCACATGGTTAAATAAGTAGTTTTGTGATGGTTATCATAGTTGTATTGTGTTTGAGTTTTGGTTTTTGGGGATGCGTGACATTATATTTGATGTTTGTGAGGCTGAGAGCATTGTAGGGGTTTAGCTTGCAACAGGACACCATGACAGAAACCTCTGTAATGACTTCCAGCCAGTGTTCTTGTGTAGAAAATAAGATCAAATTTACCAGAACAGCATTCCTACAGTTCAATGCCTAGTGGAGACAAGCTGATTTTGCAGTGAATATAATGTACCCATGGTTGAGTACATCAGCTGTACTTTATTCACTTTAACGATAATCAATTATCGGTTAAGAACACTGTGTACAAATTTCCTTCCTTATATTGCAGTGACAAAATAGCCCATAGTGAGTAAAAATGCAAAGCCTTTATATTGGGTTCACATTTTCATGGCTTTTATGTTGCTGCCAGAATAATTTCCTCATTGGGACAATTACAACTAAATCACTAAACGTTAATACATTGCATGGCTAATTTGTGCTATAATCCCTCTCAGGTTCTGGATCACAGGATATAAGGAATATCATCCCATTCAGTGGAAAAGGCTTCCTGCTTGGAGGGAAGTCTCAGAACTCCACGTCTTCCTCCCCGTCTAACAAAGCACCGGTGCCTGTTGTGAGAACACCTTTATCCAGCCCTGTCTCCTCTCCAACGAAGTTCTTCACCCCTTCCTCTCCTGCTAATAGTCTCAGCTCTCCTGCTAGCTCTAGCCTGGATGACTCAATCAATGGGATCTCCAGCTCCTTTCCCTCCGTCAGACCAGGTTCTTCCTTAGGAAAAAAGCCACCCATAAAGAGATCTGTCGGTAACACGAGGGTTTTTGTCAACATTAACGGCTCACCGGTGAGAATCCCTAAATCTCACAGTAGCAGTGGCAGCCAAGGAGCAGATAACATCAAACAGAAGTCCATTGAAGAACTCTTCAACAGCGCAAGCCTCAGGAAGTCAGTGACTCAGTCCTCCGTCTCAAACACAGAGCCGAAAAGAGACTCTCTGACATTACCGAAGAGTGCCGGTACTACCCATTTAACTCCTTCACCTACTACATCTAAGCCAAGCCTTAATGTTTCCAACCATTCTAAGTATCCATCTGTAGCTTCAACAGGTTCCCAAGGCAGCGCTGCTAAACCCACACAATCCAAGTATTTCACCGATTCTCACAGTGACAGTTCATCAGGAGCAGCTGCTGGGAGTCAGACGTCGAGGAAGAGGCCGTGGGATGAGCGCAGCAGCTCAGCCAGCATCTTTGACTTCTTCCAGAAGACATTAGGCAGCGATTCAGCAGCGTCGAGGGAGTCGACAAAGACAAAATCACCTGCAGTGCAGCAAAGAACTGCCACCGTTACATCCTCCTCTTCGACATCTTCTCAATCCTCTGCAGGACTGCACAGTGTTGCCTCCTCTTCCTCCTCCTCTTCTTCCTCCTCCTCTTCTTCCTCCTCTGCACTGATGGTCAGCTGTCCTGTGTGCCAAGTTAAAATACAGGAGTCAAAGATCAACGAGCATCTTGATTCCTGCCTTTCGTGAATGAGGACGACGTGTTAAAGGGGTGTTGCAATTAAACCGTTTTACAGATTGCAGGAAGAGTTTCAGGGAGTTTGCTGAGTTGAGTTTTATTTTTTTTAATGTTTTTTTTTCCTCATATTGCACCAAAGCTTCTTAACTGTGAGATCTTAAATAGTTTGGAAACTTATATCCCAATTGGTTTGTCATGTCAAACCAGTTGGATTAGTTGAATACCTCTCTAGTTGTACTAGCAGACTGGCTTGTTATTTTTCATAGTTGTCATTGCTATTTTATGATAATATGAGAATTCTTCTCTGCAGTGCCTGCCCAACAGCCTGTGCCTTACTATACCAACACAACAGCAGGGTTTTATAGATAATGTAGTTGAAACTGAATTGTACTTGAATTAATAAGGTGTTTCCCACCAGGTCTGTGCATTCCTTTTTTAGCCATGTTGATCATTTACATCGTGATCTTCCTCATTACACTCTTCACATCTGGTGTCACAAGACTCCAGTCCATGTTAGAAAACTGCAATAGCGATATTGCAGTGAAAAAAAAAAGAGGTGATTTATTTCCAAATTGATTGGTATGATGTGAAAACAGACCAATTATGGTTTGAACTCAGAAGCTGCTGTGTCATGCGTGGGTTGAGTCTTGGCTCCTGTAATCTGATGTAGAATCCATCTCAGATCTGCATCTGCTGACCTTCAGACAGCAGGAGACACCGACTGATCTCTGCTGATCTGCAGGAATCAGATTTCACACTCGCTAGCTGTTTATTTCTGCACGTCTTCACATTTGCGCTGCACCCAGCCGCAAGGTCAGCCAGCGCAAAGGGTATCTGATCTCTCCTTAAAAACACGGTGATATTACACATGTGCTTCACCGCTCAAATCCACAGTAGAAGAATCCAGGACGGTTTGTGTGCTTGTTTTTCTGTTCATTTTACTGCTAAAATATTTCAACTTTCTGTCAGTATGCCCTTTTATGTATATGTTGCGAAGGAAATTACTAAATATGTTCAGGTTTGCATTGCTAAATAAAACATTGTTATTGTTTTAAATATTTTGTATTAAGTGGAATTATTCCCAGGGTCTAACAATCATCATGCCATTGAATAAAATTAAATAAATGGGTCTAATAAACAGGTCAAGTGGTGAATACAGTAAAAAAAATCATCCGTCTGCAGCCTTACCAGCACCTCTGATGCTGGAGTTGGATGTACTTCTATTTATGGTGAATTTCACGTCTGTTCCTTTAACAGTTGTGAATATTTTTCTATTATTCTCTCAAGTATCTAGAAAAAGGAAACTTATTTTAAAATGAGACTTCCTCTCAGATCCCTCTAAGAAGTGTCCTTAAAGTTTTAGTCACACTCATCACGGAGAGTACAGCCGACATGGTGGGTGTAACGGAGCTGGTGGGTGAACAGACTGAGGGGGAGGAGGGGGAGGGCAGAGGTCAGACAGCGTGAGGCCAGCTGCTGATCAGGACTACGCCCTCCTGTCTGCAGGACAGATTGGAGCAAAGCCAGCAGCAGCAACAAAGCCCGTCGGCGTACACCCATCACATTTCAATTACCACAGTCTGCTGCTGCCGCTTTGATTACCATATGGCTGCACGAGCGTCAGAAAAGTGCAGGTGATGAGGCAGAATGTATGGATTTTATCAGATGCTGGAGGAACCAATGTGACGTAAAGTTGCACTTGAAAAGAACAAAATTTAACTCATTTTCACCACATTTTGGCCGATGTTGTTATTCATTCTACAGAACTGTTGATATGACTTGGTTGTGTGTAAGAAGTATGAAAAACACATTAGTACTTGCAGCAGTGTTTTTAAACTATTAAAAGTGAATGAAGTAGAAAAAAGGTGCTTGTGTCTGCTCTATATTTGTAATACTCTGCTTGTGATACTACTAAAGTGGTAATTCAGTGCATTTATGTTTAAGAAGAACTTTCTACTGTAGTTGGTGAGGTATTGCTGATCTTACCTACTTGTACATAGAGTGAGGTTATTCTTATCGTGGTGTCTGGTCCGTTCAAAGGGTCAACAGGTTGCATCTTAAACCTGTATTCTTGCTAATGGCCAGCAGGGGGCAACATCTCTGATTGCAAAAGCAAGTCCAACTGTATAGATGTTTATGAGAAAATGACCCTACTTCTCTAGTGATCTGTTACCTCAGTAAACATTTTCCTAATGAGTTCATGGTCTCGGATGCTAGTTTTAAGACTTTCTTTTGGATACAAGATGGTCATTTTGTAGATTTTGGTCATATTTAGATGATAAAGCAGGGTATGTTTAAGGGGGTGTGACTACCTTGTGATTGACAAGTCACTGCAATATCACCGAATGTATGGTCAGATCCACCCCTCGCTCATTACATCTGGCTTTAAAAGACCATAATCACGACACACAGATTTAAACCTTGACGCTTCAAACCAATCATCCATAAACCAAGGGGTGGCATCACAGTCACTATGTTCATCTTTATATGTGGTCTGTGGAGCTGTTACATAAAAAATAGGGCAGGAAAATGGAAAAAAAATTAAACATTTTTGCATGAATCCCTGCTCACTTGTGAAATCACTGATCATTTCCCCACTGGCACTTATTTAAATGTTGAATTTAAAATGGAAAAAATCCCTCTGTTAAACTACCAACAGCTGGAGGACATCTGAAACATGACATAGAGCCCTGGATGTAACTACAGCAGTCGCAACTATAGATGTCAAATAAATGTTAAATGGCAAAAAAGTACTTCCCATTGAGGAATAAAAAAAAAATAAAGTAATCACAACTATCTTTATTTGGAAGTTTATGTGGAGCATTTAAAGGCAGCACACTGTAGCCACATTCCCACAGTGAGAAATCCCTCATTGTTTCCTGCCGTTAACAGAAGGAAGAGGCTGCTTTACCCGTTTAGTGGCTCCACATCAGGGGAATGCACCATAAACATCAGACCCACCTTTAGCTTTTAGTGTCTTTATTCTATTAAAGCACAGCAGTGAACACCCATTGCCGCTACAACGACCATAAGTCAGTCTGAAGCTGACGTCCTCGGCCCTTCCAGAGGCCCCCTGCGTGGAGGAAAACTCGTGTCACTGTGAGCAGCTGTTCGTAGCGGCTACACCTCTTTCCTGACCCGCTGTACGTTGACACGCTATAGGAAGCTGACCTCCTCCCAGCACACCCGCCCTCCCTCCTTCCTCTCGGGTCCATTGTCTTTCCCTGACAGTGATGAATTTCAGACAACCTCCAAGTTCAATGCAATGTCGCTCTGAGGGCTTTTGCAGCAGCTAAAGGGAACTGAAGCACACTTTGGGGTTATTTATTCTCGCAGAGATGACAGTCCTTTCTCTGCAGAGATCATTTATCTTTTTGCAGATGTATTTTGCGACCTTTTAGATAGGAACAGCATAGAGAGGCAAGAAATGCAGGAGAGAAACATGCAGTATGTAGTTTCAGTGCACAGGGCATGACATCGTGTCATCAACAACCTGACCTGTGACGGGTTTTATGACTTCTACTACATTTGTAGTTTCCTAAATATACTGCAAACTAGAACAGAGATCAAGCATCTCATTTGGTGTCAGTCAGCAGCTGAATGATCCAACCTCCATGTAGAGGATCATCACTGCAGCAATAGGTGGGTTATTGGCTACCATAAAGAGAAGAAACAGCTGTTTTCACGATGGAAGAACCCACAGTTTCCAAAGTTGGACAAGGTGCTCGCTGTTTTCCACATTGACGAGGTTCTGCACCGGAAACGAGTCCCACAAAACTGGACAGTCAAGGCAGAGTTCTACTGAACTGTCCTGAGGTGTCAATGGTGTACGCAAATGACCTCAACTGTAACATGACAGCATGCGAGAGCCCCAGTGCTCTGTGTGCCCAGGCACAGCGTGACGATTTCACTACAGGTTTTTGAGTCACAAAAACACAATCATTACTCCCCACCTGCCAAACCTGGGGCCAATCTGGCTCCCTTTAGGTTGAAGTTGAAGGGTCTTCATTTTGATACAGTTAAAGGGATTCAGTGCTCATCCGAATGGTGCTTGACGCATTATCTAAAAATGTGTGTAACACAAGTACCACTGATGGTGTCCCGTGATGACTCACATCAGTACTGTCATCCACACATGCTGTACACAATCCCAGAACTTTTTGATCAACCGTCATATGAACAGCTTCAAATGTCGCTGCTTACACTTTAGGCGACATTTAAATTAACGTCATATTCTGGTTTGCACACTTCAAAAGGCATTCGCTTCTTTCAAAACTTTAAAATCAATAGACTCAACTTGATGTCTACACTTCAGCTCCTTTCAGTATTTGAACCTCAACTGAGTCTTCAGCTCCATTCAGCAATCTGTACTTTAATTTCACCCAGCTCTTATACCTAAATTGGCAATTTCAGCACCATTGTAACTGCTATTTTAACTTCCAATTTCAACTACAGATTTAATTGTTTCAATATTTTGACAGTATTTCAGCATCGACAATGTATAAATCTTCAAAAACTGTTGCAGCTTCTAGTTAAAATGCACTTTTCAAATATATATTTTAATCAATCCAGTGTCACATTTGCTAAGTTACCAGATTAGATTAAATTATTAAAATTTCTTTTGATTAATTTGAGAACACATACACGAAAAAATGGCAGTTGACCTTCACAGGAACTCAAACATTTTGAAGACAAAATCATCAATATACAGCACAAAGCAGATCAGTTCGTTCAATGTTTGCTCTAATATTCAACACAAACTGTCTCTTGATGTAAATTCTAATTTTACTGACCTATTTTGCTTTTTGTCTCTCATAAAGATAAAATATACACCAACATAAAGGCCATGTGTGTGGTTGTCTGTGATTCCATCCATGATTCAGGGTGTGGCAGAAAAACCTCAGCTGACTTATTTATTATGGAAATGTTGAAATCTATAGTACATGGGTGGTGGAAAATGTCCCATGAGATGATTTCCAGGTAAATCTATACCATAATAATTATCAGCAAATCTTATTCATAGCTGTGGTTGTTTATATTCTTTTGAATCACTATAAATCTCTGAGACAGACAATAAATGTCAGAAAATCATTAAAAAGCAGGAGATGTACGGCTTTTGCTTGAATAGTGACAAACACTTAATGGATTATCTAAATTGTTTACGCATTATATTGTATGTTGTATAAGTGCAAACTGATATGCAAGGTGAATAAAATAAGGCATAAAGCAACATTAAGAAAAAACAATATGAGAATCAGGGGGGACGTGAAGACAGCCAAAGTAGAGGTCAAACAATGGCAGTACGTATCTGATGGTGTTGTGTGTCTACATTATGTACTTACTGTAATTTTCTAGGAATATATCACTTTCCAGCACAGACATAATCGGATATCTTTAAACCATTATTAGCCGGACTTTGCCGAGTGACGCAAACCTTTTGTGCTTTTAGCGAGGCAGATTAACAGCACCCTGCTATGGTTACATGGCTCCCCAGGGGGGTTCCATCATACGCCTAATCCTTTGATCTCAGGAGGCAGTGACGATGATGATGGTGGTGGTGGTGCTAGGAGCTTATTGAGGGGTCGTTCTGATTATAAAACCCCTGGACAAAACAGATTGTCCTTGATCAGTGTCTTTAGCCTGTGCAGCTGTGGACTGTCAGCTGAAGGCTAATTGTTTTCGGAGCAGGATTAGGCCACTGTGATGCCTTTCAAGGGCACATTCAGCATATACAGTGTTGTCTGATGATGGTTATTGAGCAGTCAAAAGCAAACGCACCAAGACAAAAGTTTTTTTTAAAAATCACACTTTTATGTCATTATCCATCCTAGTACACATCTGTTTAGCTAAATGGAGGAGTTTTATTTTGTAATCTTTGTAACAATTAGTAATTTGTTTTTTCCATAGACTGTATAGAACATGGACGTAGCTACCATGACGTCACCCGTTGGTTTCCGCACTGAGAAAATGAAGCCAGATTTTTGCTACTTCCTGGTTGACATCTTGGATTTTTGGAGCCAGTGACGCAAAAATCGTCGAGGAGCAGCGATTGGTCAGGCGGATTGAGAGGCAGGCCCTCTCTGCCCGCCCACATTTACCGCCTTCTGCTCGCTTCGTCTGTATGGTCACTGCAGACTGTCAATCAAGCCAGCTACGCTCCTTGCCACACAAAATGTTGACGATTTTTTTTAAAAATCAGTATTAATTTGATTGATTGATTTGATGACTATGAAAACTAATAAGAAAAAAAATCCTGAGCTGTAGGAATGCGGGATTTCGTGATCTGTGATCACTTCTTTTCCAATTCAAGTCTATGGGAGCCAGGGCTTTTTGGAGCCAGCAGCTAGCGGACGTAGTGATATTGCAGGTTTTTGACACTTCGTCCATCTTTTATACAGTCTATGGTTTTTTCCCAGTATTCAGGTCAGTCGGTCAGAGTTGGGGGCCTGTTGGGGACCGGTCATCTGGCATCAGAAAGTTGAGCACAGGCTGCCCCCAAGGCTGTGTGCTGAGTCCAATGCTCTACTCCCTCTTCACCTACAATCATGTGGTCACTCAGAAGAACACCAGCATTATTAAGTTTGCTGATGACACCACAGTCATAGGAATGATCACTGGGGGGTAGAGATGGACCACAGGACTGAAGTGGCCAGGCTTGTGACGTGGTGTCAGGAAAACAATCTCTCCTTGAACACAAACAAAACCAAGTAGATGATTGTTGACCCGAGGAGGAGGAAGGTGCTGCATTCCTCCATTTACATCGGCGAGACTGAGGTGGAGAGGGTGGAATAATTCAAATTCCTTGGCACACATATCAGCAGTGATCTCACCTGGTTCCACAACATTAAAGAATTGTCAAAGAGAGTGCACAAACGGCTGGACTTCCTCAGGAGGCTGAGGAAATTTGGGATGCCTCCTGAAATCCTCAGCAACTACAGAGGTGCAGTCGAGGGTGTGCTCACCAGCGCCATCACTGTGTGTCATGGGAACTGCTCCCTGCAGGACAGGAAGGCCCTCCAACGTGTAATAAAAACTGCACCTGGCCTTCCCATCGCTGCAGAACATCTACACCAGTTGGGTCATCAGGAGCGCCCACAATGTCATTAAAGACCACACACACCCACAGCACACACTCTTCATACGCTGCCGTCAGGGAGGCGATACAGGAGCGTGAAGTCAAGGACTACAAGACTGTCAAACAGTTTCTTTCCCCAGTCCAACAAACTCCTGAAAACCACAAACAATGACTGATCACTCCTGTTCAAGTTGCAGTTCAACATTTCAGTTTACATGTGTCACCAGGCACTGTCTGTTTTTATTCTTTTATATCTATCTATATTATTCTTTATTATGTATGGAGTGTGCAAACGACACTATTTCATTGTCCAGTGTTAAACTGCTGTTTTTTATGCTGCACATATGACAATAAATGTGTGTCTATCTATCTTAATTTAACACTTGAACTAAATACAAACGTGAAGCTGTAATTATGAAGCTGTGAAACAAGATATAATAAAAGATGTTAAAGTGTTTAACATTAGTGGAACAAACAAGAGTTAGCATAGTTAGCGTAACTGAAACACAGATGGTGGCTAAACATAAACCCACTGAGCGTCAACACTTTTCCACAAACTAGCTGAAGCTAATTTTCTTAATAAAATGGCTAGTTCTGAATCATATTAGCCTGCTAGCTCTTTAAAAGCTGGCTAACTGATTCTATTCTCCTAACTTTATATCATAAGCTTGCTCTTCAAGTACACGTCTCTTCATCAGTCGCAGCATATTATAAAACTTTGACTTTGTTGTGTTATACTTTTTTGAAAATGCCTGTAATTGTGTGTTTGTTTCCTCATAATGATAAAACTTTGTTAGCTAGGTAGCCTTGGTAGCATTGCTAGCTTTATATTTCTTTTTACAATCCTTTAAAACAGTTCAGCTTACAGTCGTATTTGTTCATGTATTCTAAAAATATATATTTTTTTGCAATTTATTAACCATAGATGTGGTTAGTTCAAAAGTGGGAGTTTAAAACACTTTAAATCTAAAAAAAAATTAAAAATATTTAATTCATGTGCTATATAAAATATAAACAAAGCAGCATTCCCTGGTGTCATTCAGAAGCAAGGGCAATTATAAAATAACGATAACAGTGATAAAAACAAGTTCAAACTCTGTTTTTTATGCTTGACTGAGACCCACCTGGCTGCCATTTAGAGGTTTTTCTACTTTTAATGGTGATTATAGGAAGCACAGGGTGAGAATAAGTGTTGGGAAATGAGGCACACTTAATTATTTCATCGATTAGAAGCACCAGGCTGCAGGCGTCATCCATCTGCCTGCGACTGTGTGTGTATGTGTGTGGTTCAGCACATGCTCGTCTCTTTCTAAGGAAAGTGTGTGATGCTTTTGTGTGTTGGTTCTGGGCTTCTTGTTGTGTTATTGTTGTGACGGCGCTGCAGGCTGGGGGGTGGAAGTGAGGCCCACCATCTGTCCTTTATACTCACACTATTGTCTTTCATACACACTCCTGTCATGACCCCGAACCCCCCCGATGACGCTCCATCCGCCTTCTGGGGAAAATCTAGCAATTAGTTTCATCCAATATAATCCCCCATTAAACCCAAAGACAGACATTAAAGTTTAATGTCAAAAAGTATTGACTGTTTGTGTCAATAGGCAATAAGCAAGACAATGGCAACTTTTAGATTTACTTTGTGAAAAAGTCCTTTTTATTTGGACTTAAATGTGCCAAGTTTCTGTTTTTTGTGTATCATTTGACCAACATTTTTATCAAGTCTTTTTTTCCCCCCAAAAATAGATTTATGTTTCTAAATCCTTGTTATAAACATTTGACAGAGATATATTCACATCTCTTGTCTATTTTTTAAAAATCTGATTAGTTAGGATTATATAATACAGGATTAAAAAATAAAATAAAATACATGAAGATATGTGATTGCTCTATCTTTTTTCTTCCTCTTCTTTTTTTTTTAATGACTTTTCCTGCATATTTGCTGCCTCTGAGTGTGAGCAGGGAGACGCCCAGCAGCCACTGTGTTAAAAGGACAGGAAGCTGGTTTTACTACTTAGCCTGAATCCAGTGTGTTTTGACAAGTGACCAAAACTCAGACATAACACAACCATTAGCTCATTTCAAAATAAAAGCGTAGTATAGGCAGTTTGTGCATGTGTAAGGAACATGTTTCTCAAATTTGCTAAAGGCTTTCAAAGACGAGTACCACTGGAGCCTACATGAATATCTAGAAGTCATTGATGCACATGTTGTTTGTAAAAAAAAATAAGGACAGTATTAACACTAGCAGTGGTAGTTTGAAAAAGCTGTGGATGTTCTTGCACAAAAGGACAAGCACCAAATTCCAAATTCCATGTTTTTTTTTTTAAATGTAGTCTATTTAGGTTGATTTTTTTTCTTCTTGCTGTCTGTGTTCTCTGCCAGACACCTCTGGAAGTTGTGGGTGACTTGTTTCCCCAAGCGAAGGAGCTCAAGTGTCTCACGATCTACTTCACGAGTGGTGATTACACTCAGCCTTCAACAAAGGGTGAGGAGCTCAGACATCTAGTGGGAGCTGGGAGTGAAGTCTTTTCTGATTAGCTTCTGTCTTGGGTATCGTTTTCCGAGCACATCCAATTGGGAGGAGACCCTGGGTTAGACCCAGAACTCGCTAGAAGGATTATATATCTCACTTGGGATCCCTCAGCATCTACATATGCAACCAGACTTTAGACAAGAAGAAGAAGATAGATTGAAAGGTAGATAGATGCCTCTTCTCTTTGAGTGAATGCCGTCTATTTGACCCTGGCCTAGCAGTAAATATTCTGGTTTATGTTATAAGACGAGTGTCACGGTGGAAAGCTGTATTTGGAACTCCCCTATAATATCTAAAGCATTCTTTTATTTTACATACACCAATCAGCTACACCATTAGACCATAATATTGTGAATGTCCTGGTCGTGCTTGCCAAAATAACCGTGACCCGCAGGGGCATGGACACAGGACCTCTGTGGGTGTCCAGAGGTGTCTAACATCAGGACGTTGATGGTGGATCCTTTGGGTCTTGTGGGTTGTGGGGTGGGTCCTCCGTGGATCAGGCTTGTTCTGGTACATCACTTGATCTTATTGGGATCTGGGGAGTTTTGAAGCCTGGTAGGGGCGTTTCTGAGCTATTTTGTGGTGCGAAATTGCGCATTGTCAGATTGTCAGGGAGTGCCTTGGACACGGGGGGGTGTGCTTAGTCTTGAAGTCGTCTGGGTGGGTGGTGCGTGTCAAAATAACTTTAGAACAATGCATTTTAACAGGATGATCAACTTCACCTGTCAATGGCTTCAATGTGGCGGCTGATGGATGCAGCCTGTAGTAGAAAAACCAACCACGCTAAACAGATGCTTTTATTTTGACATCCACACCGGATGTCCGGCGCCTTCACCGCCGCTAACTTGACGTGGCGTCGCTGCCGCCCAGGGCAGAGAAAACCACGGCTGTTGCTCGGTTTGTTTAGTGCGGTGGACGGCTGCATGTTTACAGTGTCTGTAGCATTTTTTTAAGAACTAAACAGTCCATAACAGGGTAAATACGCGCTTTTTTTCCCGTTTAGCAACCACACCATGAATGGTAAGTCAACGAACGGTACGGTGGGAGGAATGGCCTGTATCGAGGGTCTGCCCCCGCTGCCGAAGAGCCTGAGCGGGCTGCTGAACTCGAGCGGCGGCTCCTGGAGAGAAATGGAGAGGATGTACGTGAAGAAAACCATGATCCAGGACGACCTGAGCCGAGGCAGGAACAACGCCGATAACCTGCTGGCCAACAAGCCGGCCAACCTCGACGCTGCTCTGGCTCTCCTGCGGAAAGAGATGGTAACATTTCAGGGAGTGTTCCTTTCATTTGTCGCTCAGAAAGTGCTCCGTTTTTTCACCGCTGGTTTTGTCCAGAGCCGTTTAATCCCCGTGAGCTCTACGTTCAGCCAGATTCCATAAAGAGACTCGTAAATTTAAAGTTGTTTAGCTGCTGGATAAACTCAAGCGCCTTTTCTCACACAAACTGAGGCTTTTTGCAATTAATAGAGTCTCTTGATAGATTCGGCATGCATACCGTTTACCATGCACTGCACTGCATCAATAAAACATCAACTTTTAGATATGGATCTAGCTTTTTGGACACCAAGATTCCCAAGAGAGAATGTAGCAAATCCAACATTGTGACAATTATTGTACAGTTTATGTTTGCCGATTTTCTAAGAATGCCTGCTACTTTGCATGGATCATCATTTTATATTACACAAAGTGATCTGCAGGCACTGAAAGATAAAACTCAGTTTTTTAGAATGGAGTCTGGTACTGAGAACACCATAGAAAATAGAGAAAAAAAAGGATCAGGAACAGCTTTGTATTGGATGAGACAAATTAAGCCATTAGGCCTGTGCTGATTTTTATTCTAAGCTCCATTTAATACCTTTTAGCTTCAGTAGAAAAGTTTTTTTTCTCATGACACGCACGAACCAGCACAAAATCCTCCAGTGATCTAATACCTGTTATTACATTCACCGAGATGTAATCAGAGTGAAACACTTATTACACACTCCCTTGCCAGCAGCAGGGATTTTCATATCAGAGCCAGACCAGATTTCAGGACTGAGGAAGGCTGTCAAAACGGCTCTTGGTGAAAACAGAACAATAGCTTGTTTCCTAATATCCAGTCCTTAAGTGAAAAAAAAAAGGTCAAACTGTTGCTGAAACTCCATCCATTTGTTGTTTGGATTTTGGTTACAGGCTTTGCTAAATCCTATTCCTGCTTCACATGCTTTACGTCTTCCCTTGCAGCCAGTTCCTGACTTCAGGCTTATTGCTTTGCTGCTGTTAATGTATTACTACGACTTTGTACTTGTTTATTAAGTGTTCTGTATTTGAAAAGCCGCTCCCCAGTTTACAGAGCGCAGTGTTTGGTCTCTCTTTGAACCGACTGTGATTTGCATGCACTGAAAAACAATGCGGTGGCTCTGAGTTCGTACTGCACTGTCAGCGGGGTGGTATGCAGCAGAAATGCCCTTTTCACCCCACGATGGTGGCCTTGACAGAGTAATGTCACTATGTGAGCGAGGGGAACAACTAATCCGGCCTCATTTTTACTACAATCCGCCCTGCAACTGAAATATTTCCATACAACTGACAGCATAATCATTATTCTGAACAATATTTAAATCATGATTATCATATTTATCCCATCCATCTGTTGGTTTTTAGAGACAAAACATTATGATGCACTATTTTCACCTGTCCTACATTCCTGCTAATGTACGAATATAACTTACAATAATCGTCATCTGAATTCAGTGCATCTCCCAGAGCCAGAATATTAATTGAATTGTACCCGAAACATCTCACTTTCTGAGCATCTGTTTATTAATGGACTCAACAATTTACTGATGTTCCCTAAACGCCTCACATGCAGGCTCCAGTAGAAGCCAACTGTGCAGCTGTGCACAGAGAAGCTTCTAGTCTCCACTCAGTTACTGCAGCGCTGCAGCTCAGACAGGTGCAAACATCACTTTAACTCTATTCAGGACTTTTGGGGTCTTTTGAACCCCAGGCCATTTGGTTTAGGCGACAGGTATTGTTTTTTAATTTTTGAACATTTTTTTTGAATATAAAAAGTGGGACAGTTGTCATGCAGGGCTGCAAGGTGGCTCAGTGGTTAGCACCGTTGCCTCGCAGCAAGAAGGTCACCGGTTCGCATACCGGTGAGGACACACTTTCAGCGTGGAGTTTGTATGTTCTCCCCGTGCAGCATGAGTTCTCTCCGGGTTCTCCGGCTTCCTCCCAAAAACATGTTGAGGTTAACTGGTGATTCTAAATTGTCTGTAGGTGTGAATGTGAGTGTGCTTGGTTGTCTGTCTCTAAGTGAAACCCTGTGATAGACTGGTGACCTGTCCAGGGTGTCCCCTGCCTTCACCTTAAGTCAGCTGGGATAGACTCCAGCCCCCCTGCGACCCTAGTGAGGATTAAGCTGTGTATAGATGATGGATGGATGGATTTGTCATGCATTTGGAATCAAAAGTACTTCAACTTCTCAGAAAATGTATTTAGCATGGTATAAAGGTCTATAATGAATACCAACACATGTTTTGCACATATTCTTTCTTGGGGTCCAATGGACCTGAATATTCCTGAATAGGGTTAAACAGAGTGAACTAAGGTGTTATAGGGTCAAATTTATCCAATTTGAAACCAAGTGATTTTTGATCGTGTTCATTTAAATGTGAGAAGCCAAAACTGCGAATATTACATTAATTATGCAGCTCTGCAACTTTTTGCAACCACATTTGCCTTGTCAGTGTTTCTCTCTTGTTCCTCGCCCATTTTGCTGTGCACATGAGTAGCCTGAATGTCAGCAAAATCTGCTTCTTGCAAATAGAATTTTAAAAAAACAAAACATGCATCCAAGGACGCTTAAAATGAAGAAACAGATGTTCTATCAGACAGATTTTACTTGTAGTCATTAGTCAGTTAAAATGAGAACTGTGCAAGTTTTCGTTTCTAGCATGATGTCTTTGAGTTCGTTTGTTGTTTTATCATTCTTTCTCTGTTCACTAGATAATTCAAACCATGTCATTTTCACAGTAATGTCAGCGTATTACTCTAAATTGCCCAGTTGGTGTTTTTAGAGCTGAAACAAAGAATCAGTTAGATTTTGTGTAGGCGAGAGTAAATCAGCAGTTGTATCAAAAATAGTTCAGTAATTTGTTTGGCAAAAGGCCAAACAGCATCTTAATGTTTTTTAATCCTATTGGATAGTAATTAAAATCTCTTTGGGTTTTGGATCGTTAGTCAGTAAAGGAAACCATGTAACAGATGTTTGGTTTCGGAAAACTGTGATGAATGTTTCCCTGTTTTCTGAGCCTGCATAGCTTGAATATTAGCTGCAGGTTAGTTGTAATCTTTAGCTTGTGAGTCTGTTTCCTTGTTTACTTTGCAAGCTTCGAGGAAAATGCGTCTAGTGTTAATGGGGATGTTGATTTTCCTCCAGGTGGGTCTGCGTCAGCAGGACATGTCCCTGCTGTGCCAGCTGTGGTCGCTCCACGAGTCCATCCAGGAGTACAAGGGCAGCTGCCAGGACCTGAGCGCCGCCTCCAGCCTCAGCATGATGGAGAACGGCTACTTTGATGAGGATGACGAGTATTACCCGGAGCCCGGCGCCACACCCACCGGAGAACAGCCGGATGGAGAAGTTGGAGACGGGACGGCAACAATGGCGTCGGCCAAGAACGGGAACAGCAGCAGCGGCAAAGATGACAGCTGGGACTCCTTCGTCACGATCTGAGGCCTCGTTCTCAGCATTTTCCTGCACATGGATACATATTGTGGAGGGGGGGGGGGCGACAGACTGGAATAAGCTGGCGGGAAAAGCAGAGTGGCTGTGGAAAACTTTTGGCCTCCGAGAAGGGAGTGGCTGGTTAGAGATAGCAGCCTGTGGTGTGTGGTTTTTATAAAAAACTGCAGAAGTACAAAGCTCCGGCTTGACTTCAACTCCTCCTCAGGTGAAACATTTACCTGCTTGTGCTGCAGAATGTTTTTGTTTTTTTTGCAGCGTGACCAGGATTTTCATCGAACTTGCAGAGCTGAGCGGCCGGATGTTTGGACAAGCGGCTCACTAACATCCTGTGAAGCACTCAGGAGTTGAGCGGAATTGTATTCAAAGACTCCATATACTCACAATTAGGCAATATGTATACTTCTTTTTATAAAACGCTCTGCTGCTGCTTCTGTATCATTTGGTTTTGCTAGCCAGTCACTCTTTATTGGCAGAGCTTTTTCTTCTTTTTTTTTTGTTTTACATATACAAAAATATATGAACAAAGTTTTATTATTTATTATATAATATAAATAACAAAATATTTGCTTTCCTGTTACTCTTTATGGAAGTTTTGTACTGCACCACGGCCCCGATACAAGGGTACAGCATTTACACGTTGGGAATCCCACAGAGAGATTTCTGAACTCTGCAGTCAGTGCTGGTGCAACAAGATGACGGACTTTGTGGACATGTCAATGGAGACGGTGTTTGTGTTACTTCTAAGTAGTGAAATCATTCATTTCTAGAAATCCCGACGGTCTGAACAAAAGTTGTCAGACCTCAAGAAAAGGAGGTGCAGTCCTCATGCCGCGATAAAATGCTTGACGGCAGCACGGGTTGACGTGCAGGGATGAAGTCTACACCTTCCTGCCTTTAGACGGAGCTGATATCCGCTCTGAAAATGTGAAACGTTCAAAATGCTGGAAGCAGTTTTTCGCTTGGATGAAAAAGCCTCCAAGCTCGGCGCGCTTAGCTGCAGATAGCGCGCTTCCCCCGAACCTTCAAAGCTGCTGCTGCTTCAACTTTGTTCTCTGACTTTGTGGTGTGCAGGGCTGCCTGAATCTGGATTATGCATTTTCTCTACCTGTAATTACGACTCATTAACTGAGTACATATTTCAGTTTATTCCCACTTGGATGTTGTTTTCATAGTTGCAGCAGTGATTATTGTTAATAATAGAAATGACAGAAAACGGACACTCAAGTGGGAATAAATGCTAATTTAATTATCCTAAGCTATAAACACTTATTCTGCCACTTTCCACATAACCAGCTTCTAAACTTACAGGACTTTATCAGATAGACCAAGCCAAGAGTTGCTGTGATCAACTCATAATTTGCACTTGCTTAGTTGGAATGCTGGCTTATTTATCGCATTTATGGGACGTATAAGTGCATAAATCTGATCGGATTTTGAAGGTGATGAGTTCTGAACAAGTAGTCGTTAAGGTTCAGCTTCTCTGGTCACTGTGGCCTTCAAGTATTGCTGGCAGTGTAAATATTCAGTTGTAGCTGTAAATCTAGTAGCAACTACCAAGTGAACACAGGGTACTTTATATTTATCCTGCATCGAGATCTTAACTGATCTTTGCAGCATCTGCTCTGCTGGATGCCTGGAGTTACGCTACACAGGCTGAGGCCATCCCGATCATCACGGGAGGCGTCTCAGAGGGATGTGATGCATCTCATATCGGCGCTCCTACATATCTGCGTACCCTCGAGGAGCCGTTTAACTATCTTAGCTTCATCATGAAACTGTAGCAGATGGGGAGCTTCCATTACAAGATTGTAACAGAGCGGGTTACAGACAGCACCGTGCACTCAAATAATGCTGTTTTTGATTGAACAAAACAACAAAAGCAGCCTTATTTCAGACTCTGAGGTGCAGGCGACGACCCTTCAATTGTTCTTACTGCTGCTACACGTAGGAAGGAACTCCTCCGTCTTCCTTAAACTCCGCGGTAAGAACCTGTAGCACCACAGCTCAGAACACAGAATTTCTGTACCCACCATCACTTTGAGAATTGTTCTACGTGTTCACACCGTGTCCGTGCAGATGATTCATCTTTTTTGTGTCGGTCGGTCCGCTATTTGAACACAAACCAAAGAAAGTACAGCACTCAACATTGTATTTGGTTATAGGTGCTGAAGTAGTCCCAACAAACTGCTCCTGAATGGTTTTTAATTTAAAAGGTATCACGTTATCTTGAAGAATGTCTTTACGGTTATTTTGCAGCTGATGAACGGAGAACAGTTACTCTCCACATGGTCATTATTTAAGTAAGAACTCAAAGAAACTGCTTTTTTTTCAGTAGATTAACACAAAATGTTTGATTTCCAATTACATAGATGTTGTGAAATTGTTGTCGCCGACTGAGGAAAGTCAAAAAATATTTGCTTTTTTTTGTCAAACACGGTCACGTGTGATGTGTAAAAGTCGAATGTGTGGCGGTTAAAGTGTAACACAAGACTTTCAAGCAGTTTAACACTTTGACATCAAATGAAATATCAAGTTTTACTCCTTTCCCTCTTTTGAAATTTCTGTGAGGTTTTAGTCTCACTGGCACCTTTGTCAACATCAAGGGGCGTAATAACCTTCTGGCTGTTGGGAAATGTGCAGAAAATAGCCAAAACAGCCACACTTGGTCTTTCTGCCAGTAACAAAATCCACCTGCGAGCACCTCTACAGCAAAAAAGTCTAAATCTAGTTTTATGGGGTTTTCTTTGCCAGTGTTCCCAAAACGTCAAACTATTCTGCTACTAGTTTGATAATAACTCTGTCTTCTTTGTCTTTTTTCTTCTGGTCTGTCATACCTGTACGAGGTTTTCTACCTCTTATGTCTCGCTGTTAATCTTAATACTTCGCCTGTTCATTTCCACAATGCAGCTGCACATTCCTAGCTAGAACCAGAACACTAACAAGAGGCCTCGGCGTTGGTTTTGGACTGAATGTTTGCTCCCTGTTATTTGTTACGGATCCACAGTTAATGAAACTCAACATGTTGTCTGTACCTTAAACCTGGATTTGAATTCTGAGAACATTTCCAGTCAAGTTAGTCATTTAGGGTCAGTTAGAACCAGCTGTTTTTATCACTGCTGATCTCTAAGCACAGCCGATCAAAATAAGATAACTGATGTAGTTCAAAACACAACTCAAATCTTGACCCTGTGTGATTTTTTATTGGATGTCTACACAATTAGTGCCTTTGTGAAGCTTCAGGTGTCAGACCTGTGGGCTTGCCGTTCCAGATGGGGATGAGAATATCCAAATGATTTGACATGCGCTTGGTTTTTAAAGCTGCTACGTGTAGAATGTCAGACTAACCTACTTAAGCAACCTCCTAAATCCCTAAAGGTGCATTACGTCATTATTGCACAGATGATTTAACGCCCGGCTAACCAAATGTTACAAATCTGCGTTATTGTGCTCCAACCACAAATCCAGAAAATCCCAGCAAGAGCCGATTTAAAGCCCTGCCGAGAAATGCGGGTAAACATGTTTGTTTGATGAAAACATCAGGTGGCTCTGGCCTCTTCCAGCCACTCCTTTTCATTTCTTCGGCGCTCCGTCCGAGGCCTCTCGTACACGTCGCGGATGCAGCTGTTGGGAGTGGTGTATTTTTGACGCTTCCACCCTCTGAAACTTGAGTTGCTTCACGACAAAGTGCCGCAGCTCTCTTCCTGTCTCGACTGATGAATTCCAGAAGCTGGAGACATCCCGTTTAAACTCTGTCGAGATCAATTTGAATCTACATGTAGCAGCTTTAACTTCCAAAGATAACAACAGCCTTAAAATCCGTCATTTAGCAAAACGAAGCTACACGGTGCACTCCTCACGTATTACTTTGCACTCGTGTATGGCTGTTCTGTGTTGAATCCCCCCCCTCCCCTGAAACTACAACTACCTGATCCCCTTTGAGTTGGTCTGTAGTGAACAGGCACATGGTGCTCCTTGTACAGCAACACTGCAAATCCAGCACAAAAGAACGAATAGTAATAAACAAAATAAAAAAAAAGGAGCTTTAAATGGAACACCAGCAAATTACACCCAACAATGTACCAGTATAGTGTGTGTTTCCTACTTCTACACCCTAAAATACCCCCCTCTTTTTTTTCTTGTGATCATTGGATCGTGGATGTGTCTTCTCAGGGCAAACTTGTGGCAAAAATAAAACTAAAATTTTAACGCAACCATTCTGTGAAACGTTAAAGATCTGGCCAAATGTAAATAGTGTCATGTTAAAGCCACACGCAATGAATTGTCGATTAAAACATCAACGATTTGGTGCGAGTCTCATAATCAAAAGAGCAGGAGCGTCTTTCTCGACTCGCCGTTTTGCACCAACTTTGAACAATCACATGGAGACTTCACAGAGGGGAGAGACCTCAGTAGACCAGAATTCAATGCAACCACATGTGAGGAGTGGGGGGGGGGACGACGTTGCTGTTACCACAATCCTGTTACACACTTGACTGTTAAAAACGCTCTGTGGAAACTCCAGGGACTGTTGTGACACTTGAAGAAACGAGTAATCTGATCAGAGATTGATGGTGTTTAATAAAAGAGGGCAAAAGGAACGATTTATTTCCTACAACATGCTGGTCTCCGTCTCCCTGAAAAATGTGTAAAACGTGTGTTCTTCTTCCGCGACTTAAATCTTTTTCTGGGTTTTTTGGATGTGAAATGAGCCAAGAGAAACACGAGGAAGCCTTAGAGGTATCAAGTATAACAGCTCGTTTTTACCGCTTCTTATTATCGACGCACTAAATATCGAATATTTATCAATCAGTTTGAGTCTGTCATTGGTAGTGAGAAACCAGACACGTGTGACTTCATGAAATTTCATTCATACTTGTACTTTATATCATAATCATTCATGAACTATAGTGGAAACAAAAAGGTGTTGATGTATTTTGTGTTGCATAGATAAGTGATCTGTGGAGAACATGTGAAGGCCGTGTTGCTGCCATCCGTCATTCCTCCTGTTCTTTAATCCATCGATGACCATACTACTGTTTGTTTGGACGATGTAGTCTCAATGCTCTCCTGTCATAGTTATTATACTGATATGAATTTAATAAAGTGATTCCATACTTTTAAGGTTTGGCTTGATGTTTCATGTGCAGCACAAGATGTGGATCAAAGACATATTTAACTATAAGGCGGAATAGAAACTATTGTGTTATGAGAACATACATTAAACAACATTTTAGAATGTGTTCGCTATACAAACCTGTACATGTATGAATTATTAAAAAACTGAAACAGATTTTTTGAGTATTACAGAACAAAGCCTGAAGCATCCATCCATCCATTATCTACACACCGCTTCATCCTCACTAGGGTCACAGGGGGGCTGGAGTCTATCCCAGCTGACTCAGGGTGAAGGCAGGGGACACCCTGGACAGGTCACCAGCCTATCACAGGGCTACACTTAGAGACAGACAACCAGGGACACTCACATTCACTCAGACAATTTAGAATCACCAATTAACATGTTTTTGGACCTTGTGGGAAGAACCCAGTGAGAACCCACGCTGCACGGGGAGAACATGTAACATGTCCAAATGATCACCACAGTCACTGGGATTCATCCTCTGATGACCATGA